TAAATCTTCACTCTGCGTCCATGGTTGGTTCTGAATCCTAAGCGAGTATTCAAGCTTAAGTGAATCCAGAGCCAAGATCGTGGATCTGGCCGTAGGGTTGCCTTGCGGGTGTTTTCCCTTGCCTTTGCGTTTCCTTTGCGTCGTACTTGTCGCCTCCTGTGACGGGATCTTGAGAGCTGAGAGCCTCTAGGGTGTAACCGACCAAGTAGTAAATTCGGTTAACCTGTCGGATCTGCACGTGTGTAGGAAAAGCTCACTAGGCTGTAGGATCTGGCCAATGTATTATCCAGTTATAACTACCAACACTAGATTCGCAGTTCCCAACCTTCTCCTAGCTCGTACGGACAATGTAGCTCCGATACTTGAGGGCAGGAAGGCACTTGCGTGTATTGTGCAAATTGAAGACTGTATTGATACTTGAGCCTATACCTGCCTGGATCTCTACCTTCTATGTCTTTTACTTGTTAAATCTCTTACCAGGCTCGGCTGCATGTCCTTTCTTTTCTTGACCCATCATCCCAGCTGTATTATCACCAGATCTACCGGATCCATGGCGTAATCAATCTGGTCACCCTATTATGGGTACACTCATCCGAATCCTGGTCGCTTGGATCCACTTCACTGTAAGGGTACACTCGTCATGGATCTGAGCTCTCCAATCATCCAACACCATCTTGCATCCGTCTGTGATCTCCATTGTCCCACGAAAGTTCGAGATCCACTGCATCCACCATCCCTGTATCCTGGATCCAGGCTCCTCTATGCGGGATCCTCACCTCCTGGGATCTGCAAATCTCGAAAGGTAGATTCGAGAACACCTCGCGGGGGGATCTTGAAATCTCTCGTTTAGTTGCGGGAAATATATATATTCTCTCCTCTCCGGTGAAACCTCAACCATCATTCCGTCATTGGATTCACACTCGATCCACCCGCATATAGCGTATCCCATATCCACCTCAGTGGATCCAGGTAAGGGTGGATCCGAGATAAGTCTTGGTGGATCTTGCCTTCCCGTACATCACTCATACCAGATCCATCGTCGTTTCATACGGGGTGCTGCTCGTCATGGCTAATCCACCACAGGCAACTTGCATCCGCGCCGGACGATCCAAATCCTCTCTAACAACTTGAAATTTGTCACTGATTCGGGATAGTGACCCCGTGTTAGGTCCATTCTCCTAATTTCTGGGAAAGCACTTCACCACAGGACCGATGTTAGCTTCGTCGTCGAACCCACTGAAAGCTCGGTGGT